AAGCAATAAAGAAATTTTTTTTTTAAAAAAAGAATCATCTTCATAAATCATATAAAATTCTTGTGAAGATAGGACTATCCAGGTTTTCTGAGACACTTTCAAAGCGACCCAAGGCACAAAATGTACACACCATTGTGAATACATACATATTCCAGACTTTGTGCCTCTAATACAGCCCATCAAAGATTTGGCTTCATGACTTATAAAACGAAATGTACTGAAATGATATTCTGCTTCTTAGCTGAAAAACCACAGGACCTATAAACATGTAATTACTCCAAAATATGGAGATACAAAATATGGAGATACAAGCACTTTATTTTAAAAAGCAAACACAAAAAAGGTGTAAATTCAAAGGTGTTTAAATGCTTTTATTTTGGATAATTCAATTAAGAACCTATACAAGTTTTTTCCCAGAGTTAATACATCACTAGTCTCTACTAAGGAAAATAAATTCTAAAAATTAACATGGTTTTCAGTAATTCAAATTTCACTATACAAAAATCTAGAGACCAATAGTATCCAATAGCTTCAAAAGATAAGCTATTCTTTTTGATGTAATCAACATTATCAATGTTTATCTGGGTCTGTTTTTATATATACATACATACACATAAGGAAAATGTACACTCTATAGTTTCTTATAAAATAGCAAATAAGGAGTAGATGTAGGCGATGTAGAAGGGGAAAGAGAATTCAAAAAGTCCTTCTCTTCAGTAACTTTTACTTCAGAATCATTAAAAAGCAACCACTTCCCCTCATACTCCTTTAAGCTTTGTACTCCATATGAAATTTTCTCGAATCCACCAATGTTAATGCCTGTTTGGTCACTGGATTCCTTGTTCCTATCAGATTCATGGGTCCCATAAGTAATGTTAGTCTCAGAGTTTCTATTTTCAGCAAATGCTGTACTGGTACCGCTGTCAGGATTAGCTCCTTTGTTGTATAGCTCATCATCTGCTTTGCTCTTTTGTCCTCCAAGAAGTCCAATAGCTTCTACATTGTTTTGGTTCAAAACTTTACTTGGCTGTGTGTTTCCATCGACTCTAATTGACATTTCATCGTCCTTTTCAGCAATACCCTTTGCTTCCTCCACCTTCAGTGGTTCTGGCTTACTCATTTCACACAACTGGTCAAGCACAAAATTTCCCGTATCTAGTTCTAAACTGTTAAGGTCTGTGACTTTAACAGAAGCAGTGTAGTGCCCACTACTAATTGTAGTGCCACTATGCATCACAACTGCAAATAGTCCATAGCTGTCA